TTGTAAAGTAGTGCAGTCTATTGTTTAAATTCATGCCCCCATCGGTGAGTGGAGTATGAAAGCAAAGTTTATCCCAGTCACAGACAGCCTCTTGCTTTTGTCATTTCTTGTTTGAAGTACTGTGTCAATTGTTGTTTGATGTTGTAGGGAATAGAATGTCCAATGGTCCTAGGATCGAAGGCGTGATGTGATTATCGCTCTGGGTGGTGCATGGTCACACCTGTCGTAGCACACCCTTATTACACACGTACACACACACAAATTTGGTTTTCTTTCATTAATAAATAAAGAAAAATATGTGACTTCATATTAACTTTCATGAACACTTGATAATTTCCTGAATTGTAATCGTCCTCCGTGATGGGATTTTACTTCATATTGATTCTAAGCACTTATCATTCCTGGGACAGCCTAGGTGTGTGCTCTCACAGTGACAGTTATCGTGACTTTGTCTACTTCTGAAGCCAAAATGTGAAAATTAAGAATCATAGACACATTTATTTTATGGTGGATCATTTTAATATGATTGCAAACCTATAACTAGTAATGAAGCAAGTATACAACACTGCATATGTAAAAAAAAAAAATTGTTTAGATTCAAAGCCCCCCCCCCTAGTTACACACATGGTGTTGTGTTCGATGTGATTACATAATTATGCATTGTAATATACATTGTTTCCAATTTAAAGACACACTGCATGATGCGATGTTTTAATAAAATTAAACTTTTTTGCATTCAAGGAACATAAAAGGAAAATGTCATTCTTTTTTTAGATGACATTTTATTTGCAGACAGTGGTCGTTGTAGTCTAGCTTACACTGCTGTTGAATTCCTGCATGGATATACATGCTGAAGTGCAATTCAAAGTAAATTTTTTTCAAATTTGTGTGGTTGACAACACATCTGCTTTCAACTATCATTAACTGCTCTAGCTTGTTTGTAGTCGCGCAACCCATATAATGTATACATGTATTGACATTTCAAAAAGAAAATGTCAGTTTTGTCAATTAAACAAAATAGAAAATGAAGAGCATTTCCTTCTTAAATGCGTTCTCTATAAAAAAGAAAGAAATTAGCTTCTCAAAAATTTGATGCTACCTCCAAAACTTCCTGACAAAGAAAAAATAGTTGCAATACTAAACAATGGTAGTAAAAAATTAGCTCCTCAAATTGCTAAGTACATAGATGATTGTTTTAAAATCAGGGAGAACAACCTGAAAAAAGTACTACCAGCTGCCTCAAAATGAATAAAAACATTTACTTTCATTTATTATATTTTATTAATACCTTTGTTTTATACTCTTTTAATCTCATTTAATTTTTTTTTTCATTGCTATACCTTTATTGTATTCTTCAATCAAAGTCCCATAGAGGATACGATAACAATAAAGATGATTATTATTATTATTACTTTTGTAACCCCCCCCCCCATCAAGTCTTGAAGTGTGATGTAAATGTTTCTTCATAGTGACCTTACCGGGTACTGACTTAATTACTAAATTAAAACAACTAATTAGCGATGCAGGGTTCTTGGAAGTCTGCTGGGGTATAAGTTTTAAAAGCTGGTAGTCTCATGATACCCCTAACTTTTAAGAAAAGAATGGTTTACCTTAAAACCAAAGTATTGAAATTGTCAATTTTGGATTCCTGTTGGACTACAAATTTTCAAAAATGGTAGCCTCAGAACAGGGATTGTGTAAACAATATATTCTTCCCAGACCCCCAATATTCGAGAGGGACCCCATTTGAGTACAAAAAGGGTCCTGTTTATGCACAGAATATATTTCTAGCTGCAGTGTATGTTCTTTTTTTACTACACGAAAATACTAACCGCCTCCTAGTACAAGAAGTATTTATGGGGGTCTAAAAATTAACTCTGAGACGCGATTGTGCGACTCACTGAATGTCGATTATTGCACTTTGCGACAGGATCGCAGTGTCACTCTGCAAAGAGCACGATTCCCATTGGTTGGTCGAAAAACGTGAATCTCAATGGTCGATCGATGTAAGGGTACACAGCATGCCTTATAAAAATGTTCAGTTTTAAATGGTTATTTCGCCGACTGCTCGCGAACTACGGTAAACAAGTATTTACCGACGACATGCCACACGGTTCGGTAATCAGCAAGTATTTAACATTGATTTATTAACATGTATAACATCCCCCGAAGGGGAAGAGAGGGGTTACAAAACGCATGCTCATTGGTGCTGGGTGCCTTATTACGTTGTAACATCAGGGAGCTGGTAACACTAACGCCATCTTGAAGTTGTAAGGCTTCGTCTGCAACTATGCTCATTAGCATAGGCGGCAGCTTCAAAGCGGAGTAGAGCGCGAAGTACGTTTCACACGATGTTACTTTTTTTTTTCATTAGCAAGTATAACGTGTTATGACTATATTCATCGCTTTGAATTCCCAAATAAAGCGTGTAGCGGGTCAAACTGTTTCTAGACGATCAATATCGTTTTATTAAGAATATTAAGAGAGAAAACGTAAAGCTGTGTGAATGGATTGAAACTACTGCTGAAGATGGAAAACTACTAGTAAAACGACAGTTTCAACGGAAAATTAGATGAGTGCATGCTCTCTGTTTATTTGGTCGATGTCGACGAGCAACAGATTTCCTGTACTCCCTCGTCTGACCACCGGCCCTCAAGGGTCTAACGTATCGGTGTCGTCATCGGTTAAGTAGTTGAAACTCTCGCGTTGATATATTTCAGCCTAATCGATGAAAAATTCTTGAAAAATATAATTTTAATATAAATTGCATAAACGAGGGGTGAACGCGAAAGTCCTGTAATTTTGCATCGGAATCGAAACAGGCTGCAGGCAAGTCTAAATTAGTAAATATGACCCTGAGTTGCAGATTTTTCTTTGCCTCGACTTTCATTGGCGTCTTTGCTTTCTTTTTATCGTCATTGCGTTTAATAGTAAGATGGTGTTATTAAAATATAATATAGACTTAGAAAATAAAACGATTTCTCAGACGAAGTCTTGACTGATAATGCTGACAATGGACGTTAGATAAATATGCATTGTTTGCGTCAGGAAGCGTGTCACCCGTTCTATCAGAATCGTCAACAACAGAATATAATCGGTAGTATACATATACATGGTATAAACATTATGCAAATATTAACAAAACGGTAGTAGTGTTAGCGTTTGAGCACTGGTCTTTCCGAAATTTCGAAAAGCTGGGATGATGAATCAAGGTACAAAGTAAATGTTTTATCAATTATTGAAAAATCAAAAAAAAAAAGAATTTCCCTTCCCACTACATTAAGATCAATATGGACCACCAACATTTGGCGTTGATTTAAAAAAATAAACCATAATTTTCCGTAATACTGACTTAAAAAATTATGATACAAAAATAATTACATTCATACCACAAACCAATGCCGTTTTTGTTTACTTTTCACAACTGTTACAAAGTATTTCATTTCTGGTGGTTAAAATACCAGCTGATCGATCGTAGACCACAAGTTTTGAGTCCGTTTATGATCTAAACGAAGGCAGACGATTGCAAACTGCTGTCATGGCAAAACATTGCACTCGTGAATGATTTTTTTTCACTGCATGCAAATTATTTTATTTGATGCACTCAACAAAGTCACAGCAGACATACAACATTCGTTGCAGAAGGCGTGAAAAGTACTTCGCGTTCCACTCGATTTGAAGCTGCCGCCTATGCTAATGAGCTTAGTCGTCGGAACGAAGCCTTACAACTCCAAGATGGCGATAACGTTACACCGTAAATAGGCAGTCAAAACCAACGTGCACGTTACACTATTTAATTTTTCTCGCCAGCGGTGTGATGTGTCTAAAAACCGTAAACCATGTGTCATTTGTTTGGTCCCACAATTTGTCTTCCATGTGCTTGCCGATCACCGAACAGTGCGGCATGTCGCCGGTACATAGTGTTTACACACTTTTTTTTACTGTACCTTTTTTACCATATAAAACTTATTTTTATAAGGTCTGCGGTAAACGTCGACCATTGGGATTAGCGCTGTTCGACCGACCAACCAACCAATAGGAATCATGCTCTTCGCAGAGTGACACTGCGATCCTATCGCAGAGTGCAATAATCGACATTCGGCGAGTCGCACAATCGCGTCACAGAGTTAGTTTTTGACTTCCATACATACATGAGTACAAGGATTGGTAGTCTACCGCCTTGGGCTATGTCTAATTGTAAACCCTGTGATGGTTTGCAAATCCAAACACTTTTGCATGGATCATTTGTTTCTAAGGATGGTCTGTACATGTATACCTTGGGTGAGTGTACAACATACTCAATAGGAAGGCTAAAATAACTGGTTCAGTCACTTACAGGACTGACTTATGCTTAGCAGGTGCTTTTGTTCAAGGGTTTGGTTGACGTAACTGTCATACAGCCTTCTTTGGGTAGTTCCTAAACCGAAAACATAGTTTCTAAAGCCAAATTGTATTGCCTACTGTACAATTTTTTTTGGTGTTTTGTATGAAGTTTATTTTCACACATTGTTGATCAGTTGAATGTATAGGAAAAAAGGTATTTTCATTGGATGTTGATTTCACTTATTCATCTGTTCAGTGAAAATAAATTCAAAATGAAAATCAAGTATTTGCAGTACATTGTTAAAATGAATTCTTGCGATAACAATTTAAGAAAGTCAATGGAATAGGTTCAGTGTCTGGAACTGTTTTATCAGTTTTGTGAATGTTTGAATTTCTTTAGTTCTTACGAGTAAGTACATGTGTCGTCTGAAGTGACTTTTCGTGTCATCTGTTTATCAACATCCAACAGTGTTTCCACCACACCACCATATTCCTTTTCAGTTTGGACTAGGAACTTGGTTTACTAAATGAAATCTTTCATTTTTAACTAAAGAGGGCAGAGCTGAATAAATGCATTGACCCAAAATGATCTTCAGTCATCAATAGACTCAGCTAACCTTTCACCTATCTTCCTCCGTACTCAGAAATCAATTGCATTGGTATAAGCTAAAGTGATCCACATTACGGGTAAATCCAGGAACATGAAAACAATCCAGAAAGTGAATTTCTTTAAGGCAGTAAGTACCAGTGATATGTTTTTACCAGTCAGTTATAATTCTGGTTCAGTAGGTATTTGTTGTGGTATGGTGGTGCAGAATACATACCTTATTGGGCTGTGAAGGAAAATATGCTTCTATATATAATTGTTGGGGTACCATCCAGTTTTAAAAACATGTGCTAATTTTGTCAAAATTAGAACATTCACTAAATAATTCTATTTTTGTAAAGGAGGTTATTTCAGTATCGTGTGATTTTTGGTTCTGTTCATGACAAAAACAGAAATCAGTATGAGATAATATAAGATATAGATAAAATGTGTACTACATGTGCCTATATGCTCTAATAATTCCAACATGATTTATGTTTGTACTGTGCGTGTTTTGTGTGAAAATTTATATTTGTCATTCATTGTGAAAATGTGGTTGAAATGACAACACAAAATTTTATTTTCTCATCCTGTTTTCAAAACAAGTAATATACCTTCAAACATTACATTTTAAAAATTTACTGAGCTAAGCACCGACATCTTAAAAATCATGATTTACTGAGTTGAGGACATCGGGTACTCACATGGCTGGATATGGTAGTTAGAAGTGTTAGAAGCATGACAATTGTATCTAAAGTTTCCAATTATAGTTCTGGGAAAATAATTTTCAAATTCTGTACATGTATGTTTGCTGGTCATTTACGATGGTTGTGGTGTGGAATGCATTTAACTTTGTTAAAAGCAGTTTATTTCATATGTTCTTCTCAATTATACTTGCACAGCCGTAAAATTTAATGTTCTGAATCTTTACGAGCACCTTATAGTATGCAGGTATTGGAGTGCCTGGGGATTGTGTGGCCTGTGAGTGTGAGTACCCTACAGTTACCCTGTGGTAATTTTCTTCTGCCCACAAATTTGTCTTGAGAATTATAGACTTGTAGTAAAGATTTTTTTTTAAAACAGAAAGCCTAAATTTTTAGCCCAGCTGTTGACTTTGTCGAGCGTAGCTTATCATACGAGTGATTGTCGTTTGCAGTCCGTTGCTCGCCATTTGTGTCATATTTTTACTTTTTGGACTTCTTGAAAACTACAATTATATATGTATATGTACCTTGGGCAGACCTCTTTTAGATTTGTTCATTTCAAAATGATATCTTTAATTTTGATGAACATTTTTGCCATTTTTGGTAAAATGTTATGTTTTCAACTTCTTGTTGAAATCCGCAAGTCTGATTGCATTGATATTATATATATATATAGGTACTACATGTGGACCTCTCAGATTTGTTCATTTCGTGATGATATCTTCAATTCTCTAATTTTGATGAATATTTTTGTCATTTTTAGTAAAAAGTGATATTTTTGACTTTTTGTTGACAACCACAAGTTCGATTGCTTTGATATTATACATATAGGTAATACAGGTAGACCTCTCTCAGATTTGTTCATTTTGTGATGATAGCTTCAGTTCTCTAATTTTGATGAATATTTTTGTCATTTTTGGTAAAAAGTGATATTTTTGACTTTTTGTTGACAACCACAAGTTCGATTGCTTTGATATTATACATATAGGTAATACAGGTAGACCTCTCTCAGATTTGTTCATTTTGTGATGATAGCTTCAGTTCTCTAATTTTGATGAATATTTTTGTCATTTTTGGTAAAAAGTGATGTTTTAAGACAACAGTGTATGTGACAGGATTGTATGTCATCTTTTATCATTTATAGAATTATTACAATTTATTCCGACTTATATCTAGTTGTTTGAACAATCACGCCTCGTCTAAACTGCATCTGTAAATCGAAAAATCTTGGTCAGTGGCTTTTTGCCTGCCAATGGAGTAGAACATTAACCCAATGTATGACCCAACCTCTTTTTATTGTTGAATTCCAGGTTTGAACTTGACACCTAATAATCATGGCTTCAGTCGCCCTTGGTGTTGAGAGAGGTTGGTCCAGATTTATGCTACCAGTTATTGATTTTCAAAAAAATTAACAATTCTTGCATGATTTCTACATAGAATTGTGTATGTAGGTATAACCTGGCACAGACATAAGCTATGGTTCCATCTTCAATGCAAAATGTAATAGCTGATTTTTATGGTAACTGTGGGAACTCGCATGATGCATGAAAAGTGTGAATCGAATGTCAAAATTTTTTCTAGAAAAAAACTGCAAGAGTGGGGGGAGCTAGGGTTCTCCCGACCTGGGTGTGGAGTTTTTGATAATTCTAAATTAAAATGGAGCATTCTATGGCTTTCTTGCGGCCAAAATTACTATCAGACAGGTCACAGTTGTAGACTGTGGCTACATGTGAACCCTGGTCATTCAGAATTTGGTGGTTGCCAGTGAATTTGCTCCCCACAGTAAGGGGGCACATGGCCATGGCATGAGGGCACAGCGTCCCTGTTTCCTTGTTTAAAAAAATCCCTGAAATTGATTTTGATTTTGAATATGTATTTGTTTGTTAGTTTATAGTTCAATGTTGAAATCCCAAGGCTCCAGAAGGGAGGGGAACATGGTGTTACTTCAACAAAACTGGCCATCATCAGATGTGTATAGTACATAACAATAAAGTGTGGAAATGCCCCAAAAATTACTACAAGTAATCCAGTTTTGACTTCACCACAATGCTATGACCTTTTGTTTGTCCTGTTTTTACATTTGATTTGATTCCAAGTATAATGCAGGATCTTGTAGTTAAATGGGAACCTTCCAAGCCCAGGGATTGCACCAAAGAATCATGGAACACTACTGTTTATGTTGTTTACAAAGTTCATCTATCTTTTTTTATCCATTGTAATTTTACTCCAGAAAGTAAATTTGTTGTGAGATTAGACTTAACTAGAAGTGCCCCTTTTACAGACAATGGTCAATGCTATTACGGTTGTTTCAAACTATCTTTTCTATGTGGCTTTCTACACAACTGGTTGCCTGTCATCTGAATCTAGATTTT